TTTCTAGAGAGAGAGTGGAAGAGAGGCAGAGAAACATCAACATTAGAGACAAACATTGATTGGTTGCCTCTGCCCCTACTGAGGTATGTGCCCTTGACCGGGAATCAAACCTAATACTTGTCGGTCCATGGGCCAACACTCTAACTACTGAGCAAAACCAGCCAGGGCTACCTATTCTAGTTTTTAATTACCTAGTTCTAGCATGTATAAATTATATACATATATTACTATAATTCCCATACATATCTTTTCCAATAGATATTCAGCACACAAAGATAATCAGGCACATAAGAGAACAAGACTTCATAAGTAAAGACCAGGAGAAACAACAGACAATAGAAACACAAAAAACTTCAGATATTATAATGGGCAACTCACATTATAAAACAATTATGTTTATTGGGATCAAAGAACAGCCAAGTTTAGGAATTTCATCAAGGGACAAGAAACTATAAAAAATAACAGTGATTTGAAAAGAACCCAATAAACACCCAGCCAGTGTTGCTCAGTGGTTGAGCATCACCCTATTAACCAGGAGGTCACAATTCGATTCCCAGTCAGGGCTCAATCAACGGTAGGGGGCATGCAGGAGTCAGCCGATCAATGATTCTCTCTCATCATTGATGTTTCTATCTCCCTCTCCCTTCCTCTCTGAAATCAATAAATATATTTTAAAAACCAATAACAATTCTAGAATTAAAACAAAGAATTCAATTGATGGATTTAATACCAGTCCAGACACAGCTGAAAGGATATTAGTTTACAGACTCTAAAAGTTCAATGAATTTCAAGCACAATAAATAAAAATAAATCCACACTCAGATACATCACAGTAAATTGCAGAAAACCAAAGGCAAAAAGAACAAAATTGGAAAGCAACAAACTATCTTCAAAAGAGTAACAGACGGATAGCTGATTTCTTAGGGGGAATGGAAAGTAAAAGGCAGCAGGAAATATAGAATCTATGTACCAAAAGAAAGTAACTTCCAACCTAGAATCCTATACCCAATAAAAATATTCACCTGGAATTAAGAAAGACAAAGTAAAGTTTCTCACAGGCAAGCACAAAAACAAACAAGCAAGGTAGGCAAACTTCTGTAAAGAGCCGGATAGTAAATATTTTAGTCTTGCAGACCATGGTATTTGTTACAACCACTCAACTCTGCCTTTGTAGAGCAAAAGAAACCACAGACAATAGCAAAGGAATGAGTCAAGCAGTATTCCAATGAAAGTATTCACAAAAATAGATAGTAGGCTAGATTTGGCCTGTGGACTATAGATTACTGATTCCTGTCCTGAAGTTTAAACTTCAGACAAAATGGAAATGATCCCAAATGGAAAGGCAGAGATTCCAGAAGGAATGAAGAGCAAAGAAAGTGGTAAATAAACATCAATTACATGAAACTTGGTTTAAAAAAAAGAAGCATAGAACCAAAGAGCATATAACAAGTTAAATGTAGCTGGTTTTCTAGGTTCCTTGTGTTATCTATCTGTGGAAAGGTATTGATGAAATTAGTCATTGATACATTAAAGATGTCTGTCATAACTTCCAGAGTAATCATTAAAAGAATAAAAACGGCCCTAGCTGGTTTGGCTCAGTGGATAGAACGTTGGCCTGTGGACTGAAGGGTCCTGGGTTTGATTCCCATCAAGGGAACATGCCCAGGTTTCGGTCTTGATCCCCAGTAGGGGGTGTGCAGAAGGCAGCCAATCAATGATTCTCTCTCATCATTGATGTTTCTATCTCTCCCCTCTCCCTTCCTCTCTGAAATAAAAAATATATTTAAAAAAACCCAAAAGAATAAAAATGGAATAAAACTTCTAAACTACCAGAAGAGGAAACAATGGAATGACTAAAAGGCAAGCAAGAAAAGAGAGAAAAATTAAACATAAAACATTCAGACAACTAGACAAAATAAGAGCTTTAAACCCAAAATATGACTAATTACATGAATATAAATGATTAAACGCTTCAATTAAGACAGGAATATCATATTAAAAATGAATAAAACTAGATGATGTTCATAAGAGATGTAAATAACCAGAAAAGTAGAAAGACAAAGTTAAGACTAAAATCTCTTCACTAACATAATTATTCAACATTTTAGTGTCAGTTCCCTCCTGAGTATATCTATATATATAAAAGCCTAAGTGACCAAGTGACCGGTTGACCTGTCGCTATGATGCATACTGACCACCATGGGGCAGAAGCTCAATACAGGAGCTGGCCCCGGTGGTCAGTGCACTCCCACAGCAGGAGTGCTGCTCAGCCAACAGGTGCCAGATGCAGGGCTCACCGCTGCTGCGGAGGTGCAAGCCTCTCCTGATCAATTGGGACTCACTGGGCTGGGATGAGCAGGAGTGGCAGGCAGGAGGGGCAGGCGGCGTTGGACTGCTGGTTTCTGCCTGATCCCCAGCCTGTCCTGCGAGGATTGGGCCGAAACCAGCAGTCTGACATCCCTCAAGGGGTCCAGGATTGCAAGAGGGCACAGGCCAGGCTAAGGGACCCCGCCTCCCCCGCACAGATCCATGCACCGGGCCTCTAGTAACGTATATAATAGCATCCCTATTATGTATAAGGATATTAATTTGAACATTTTTCTTTTATTGTAAATAGTTTTCAAAGGATGACAGTCCTAGTACTTGGAGTTGTTTGAATTTTGAGTTACCTAAATAACTGAATGGAAAAACTATTTTGTCAGTTACTGAAGGCAATGTGATTCTAAAATTTTTATTGGCCCAGTATGCATTTAAAAGGATCCAGGGACTATGATTGCTATTTCATGTTAAATTTTTTGTTGTTGTTGTTAATCCTCACCCACGGACATTTTCCCATTGATTTTCAGAGAGAGTGGAAGGGAGCGGGAGAAACAGACACATTGATGTGAGAGAGACTGGTTGCCTCTTGCATGCGCCCAACTGGACTGGGGATCAAGCAGGCAACTGAGGAATGTGCCCTTGATGGGAATTGAACCCACGACCCTATCCACTGAGCTCAACCGGCTAAGGCTATTTCATATTAATTTTTTGTTGATCATGCTAATAAAGCTTAAGCTCCATTTGAAATTGTAATGAAACAACAAATTTTACCGTTACTTCCTTTTCAAAGTATCTAGAAGTACTTATGTCTCATTTTAAGGGATTATTTTATAAAAGAAAGAAAGCATCAGGGCAAGGCTTCGGGCTGGTCATTTTCTGTTAGCTCATTTAGTCCTCACAACAGTGCTCTAAAGTATCTACAGGGTGTCCTAAAAAACGTATACACACTTGGAATGATTATAGAATAAGTGTTTATAACCATACAGTTCGTTTTCTAAATTTAAAAGAATTACAGAAATGAATTAATTTTGTCAGTGCGTGTTTCCAAACTGATGACCATTCTGGTCTAAACATTGACAATAACAGGAAGCAATGGAATCACAAACATCAAGAATAAGTCCCTTGCCAAAACCGGTTTGGCTCAGTGGATAGAGCGTCGGTCTGTGGACTGAGAGGTCCCAGGTTCGATTCCGGTCAGGGGCATGTACCTGGGTTGCGGGCACATCCCCAGTGGGAGATGTGCAGGAGGCAGCTGATCGATGTTTCTAACTCTCTATCTCTCTCCCTTCCTCTCTGTAAAGAATCAATAAAATATATTAAAAAAAAAAAAAAAAGAATAAGTCCCTCGCTGAAACCGGTTTGGCTCAGTGGATAGAGCGTCGGCCTGCGGACTGAAGGGTCCCAGGTTCGATTCCGGTCAAGGGCATGTACCTTGGTTGCGGGCACATCCCCAGTGGGAGGTGTGCAGGAGGCAGCTGATCGATGTTTCTCTCTCATCGATGTTTCTAACTCTCTATCTCTCTCCTTTCCTCTCTGTAAAAACTCAATAAAATATATTAAAAAAAAAAAAATAAGTCCCTCCAGTACTTGTGTGCCCTCAATTCCTGTTGTGGTTTTGTACCAAATCTTTTATGTATCCCCATAAAAACAGTGCAGTGGCACATTAGGATACATTTTCTTTGTTTAAAGCTTAGTCTGGCTTCACCCATTATTTCAAACCAGTTAAATCTGAAAAGGAGTGAAAATTCAGTGAATTATCAGCTGTTAGTGTATATATACTATATTTTTAGGGGACAGCCTGTATTTCCATTAAACACGAGGTTAAGAAATAAATTGCTCCAAGTCCCACCACCGGTTTTCAATCCACGGTGATGGCAAGCTATGAACCCACAGGCTTTCTTTTCCGTTGCTGCTGATACAATAAAAAGAGAGGCCTTATTCTTCCAATTTCTCTCTCAGGCAGGAAAAAATTTCTCTGCAAGATCACCTCTTCTCAGAATACCGCTTCATCTCTACAGTTCCTAATTTAGGCGAACAGCTTCCTGCTGTTAAGCAATGACCGAGCCGAAATGGGTTACATCTCCTATTTCCTAGTGTATTAATTTCAGGTGGCATTTCCTTAATTTGACTTATCCCAGTTCGGGGTGGGGGTGAGGGTGCTTAAAAGTCTCTATGAAGGAAAACGACCCAGATGTCAAACCTCCAGGGCGCCTGTGGCAGGGGGTCGGCAGCGTGAGAAAAGGGTTTAGTCTACGATTCCGGGCGGGCCCCCGAAAAGGGGTTAATGGATCAGTAAATACTCCTCGGGAAGGCGCCCGTATGAGCTATTGAGACTGCTAACCTCCGCCGAGCCGACCCGCCAGGCCTCCACTCACTCTGGACTCGGGCTAACCCTCTGACATTTGATTTGGGTCTGGGTCGCCAGCCGAAGGTGAGGCGCTACCCGGTTCCGACCTGCAGCCGGGAACGTGAGATTTGGCGCCTGAGGCGAACGCAACCCGAGGGTCTGGGGAAGGCTCCGGAGTCTCGCGATATCTGGGAGGAAGGGGCGGGAGAACTGGCGTGTACGCGCACGAGAGCCGTTAGGGCGGAACCCCTCCTGGGCGGGGCGGGCGGAGCAAATACAGTTGGACGCCGGTTGGTGGAGACCCGCAGAAAACGACTGAGCGCGAGCAGCGTGCGCGCTCACGTCGCAGCGACGGCGGTGGCGAGCGGCGTCAGAGCTTGAAGGGGGGGCTGACGGCTGCTGGCGGGTGGCGGTGTTGAAGGCGAGAGCTTGCTTAGCCCTTATCGCTTCTGTCTCAGGACTTGGACAGAGATTGAGGGGACGAGGGTCATTTGCGTGGGGCTCTGTCTTCCGCGTGCGCGTGGTCGTCAGGAGCGCAGCCCGGACTCCGCTGTAAATCCTCCGGCTCCTTTCCCGCACGCCTCGAGGTGGCGGCGGCGGCGGCGGCGGCAACCAGAGAGCGTCTTACCTTCCCTCAGCCCTTCCCCTTGTCCCCCCCCTCCCGAAAGGGCCCGGTCTGCGCCCCACCCCCGCCTGTCCACCCGCCCGCTACGCCGCCGCCATGTCGGCGCAGGCCCAGATGCGCGCGATGCTGGACCAGTTGATGGGCACCTCCCGGGACGGTAAGTCTCTGCCAGTGCCCTGGGGGTGGGGGAGGGGACGGGAAAGGCGAGGAGAAGGGGCTCGGCGGGCGCACCTGGGCTTGTGTGTGTGGCTGAGTAAGGGGCTCCCAGATTGGTAACACGAGGTCCCGGCTCCGCTCCCATCCAATCAGGGCTGGGCAGTCGGGCTGGGGGGGCGGTGTCCGAGCGGATTGGCGGGAACTGCTGCCAATGGGCTTAGGCGGGGCCTGGAGGCTGAAGGGGGAGAGTTTGAGCCTTCAGTGTTGACTTGGCTGGGACTGGAGAGCCCACGTCTCTCTTGCGTAGTAGGGCGGCCCATTTTGCGGTCGAATTAGGTACCTGCGGACCGCTAGAGCCTCCGCCCCCTGCACTAATCCCTAACCCAGAGTTTTGGGATCATCTCTCGCCGCCGTCCTCCAGAGCATCCAGAGAGAACCGCCCCCCCCACCCCCCTTAGCTGAGTCCGGAGGAAACCTTTGCTGTAAACCCAGTCCTAGAAATGCACTCTCAGCCCCCTCAGAAACAACCATTCTTACGAAAATATCTGACCCAAACCATGGCTTCTTGAGTGGGTGTGCTTAGCCCCATTTTATGGAAAAAAAATTATGGCCCGTTTTTCCCCTGAAAGCCCTCCATTTTGTTAGACAATTTAATAGAGGCTTTGTTCAGTTAATTTGACACATCTTGCATGTGCCCCAACTAGAACCATTTTGAAAATGTGGTGCCCAGTGAGGTAGAATTGAAGGAAACGATTCTTTTAGGCACTCAGGTTAGAATTTGTATAGAAAACCACTAATTGCTGGACATCTTTTTGTCATAAAGAGAATTTCCAAATAAGAAATGCTGTTGCTTTTTTGTTGATGATAATTAGTAATGTACTCTTTCAAATTCAGCTCAAATCCATGCTACTGTGGAGGAAAGGTGTAGTTCATTAACTTCTGAAAATGAAATAAAACACTTGTTTATTTTCATATGTTGCTTGTCCTGGTAAATAGTTTCTTAACCATTGAAGAAATGCTTTTTTTCTTAATAAGTTATTTTTATTGCTTGATGTAAGAGAAAAGACACTTAAAATTTTAAGTCGCTCTTATGTTCTTGAGTGCTTTGCAGCAAAATATGTGAGTAGGTTTTTTAAATTTATTGAGTTCAAATATTTTTGGCAATGCATATTTAAAGAATGGCTTTTCAGTATTCACAGTTCAGTTTTAATTAAAACCCATACTGGGAACTTTTCTTTGTAGATCACATAGACAAATAGGTGTAGATGGCAAACATACTTGTGGAGGGGAAGATTGGGAAGGAAATGAATTTTCTTTGTGTAGTAAACCCTTGAAAATAAACATTAATTTGAAATGCCACTGGAAGAACTTACCTGTTATCATTTTTCACCTTTAGATAAGGATGGTCATTTTATATCTGCAGCATGTCTTAACGTTGCTCCTTTTTTATTATGAAGACAGGATTGTGAAGGGGCTTAATACAGGATTTTAGCTGACAATAATCTTTGTATTAAAATTGCAGAAGTCATTTACATGATCTTTTTAGTCCTAGATGGATACCATTTTTGGTACCTTCTGCATGGATTGAATTTTCTAATTTTACTAGGTGGGTAGTTGGATCAAAATACTCTACTATCAGCTGATAAATTTCCGAACTAGGCAGCTAATGTAGCATTCAAAGCTAAACCAAAAATGTGTGTATTGTATGGAGTCAGCAGAAACAGGGATTTCTTAAAATCCATTCTGTTTTGTATACAAATAAATTTTTATTTTTTGTGTGTTACTGGATTTTTTTTTTTTTTGGCCTCCAGACCAAAAGGATTTACCAATGAATTCATGTTTATGAGTCCACAATATTATTTAGTTGAAATGACTGAATATTCACTGCTGTGTTGGGCCAGAAGCAAGAAACATACTATTTTCAAGGAAAAGAATGTTTTTTAGATACAGAAATTCTTTTATGTGTATAAGATAATAATCAGAACATTCTTTTCCTTCTTACCACAAAACCAGATAGTTAATGAGTTTACATGTTTTATGACTTAAGGCCTTTAAATATTAGGATTGTTCTTTTTTAGCATATAGTCAACTTAAGTTATTCAGGCATAGAGAAAATGGATATGTTCTTCAATAAGACCATGTAATTTGAAATTCTATAATGGGAAGCCTTGTATTGGACACAGGAACAGCTTACAGGGACTGCTGTTGGTTGTCTTTGGCACTAAGAGGTGGATTTGGGGATCCAGGAGGTGGGAGAGAGATGGAAAAGGTAGGTAGGAGGTATTTAAGGCAGCCCTGTTCAAAAAAAATTTTGTTTTTAAATTTTAATCCTAGAGACCACTGTCTTCTAGGATAGTGGGACACAAGGTGGCAGTAATTCCCTCAACCTTTAGTGTCCTGAGACTACCTTGCACCTCCCCCTCCTCCAATAAAAGACTTAATCCTTTTGCTCCTCCCCAAAATCTTTTTAATTAGTTCCTTTTTAAACTCCTTGGAGATTTAAGTCTGTTAAATGTACCTTATTTTGAATTATTTAAATCATTTAGATTATCTAAACTTCACTGAAATCCTCAGGAATAGGAATTTTAGTGGCAGGGAAATGGAGAGGTAATTTTTGATCACTGGGCACTTCCAGAAAGGACAGTCCTGGGTGAGTGGTGGCAGTGGGGGGCTTTGCACAACCAGAGGGCAGCATGATGGTGCTGGGAGGCTGGGTAGGGGGATGACTAGGAGGTGGGAGAGGAATGTATAAGGGAGGTGGGAGGGCCAAAGACAAACTTTGCCTTCTTTGCAATTTTGCCTAGGGCCCTGGTGGTGGCAACCGCCTGTGTGCCACTGAAAATCGTGCCGATGCCTGGCATACTGCATAAATGGAAGCAGGGTACCGCGTGAGTTGAAACATTGGTCACACTATATAAAGTTTGTATATGTGAATCAGTGTAACTCATACCCATGTAACTGGGGGTCTGACTGTATTTGGATTTTTCTGATAAGGCATCATGGGCTAAGGAAAAGAGCATTGGGCTGAGACTCAGGAGACCTTGTTTCTAGCCCCAGCTGTACCTCTAATTGTAATCTTGGGTAAGTCACTTAACCTTTTTGCCTCAAGTTAAATCTGTAATTTGTTAATTGGGAAACCAAGCAATTTCCTATGTTACACTAAAAAAATGTTGGAAAAACATATTTAAAGTTTTTTAGAAGGGAGGAGCCATAAGTAGGTATATATCAGTATCATTTTATATGAAGTGTAAAATATGTTACATTTTATAAATATCTTTGTTTTAGTTGTTAGCATTAAAAGAAGGGAGAGGGATAATTGATTTTCCCCTAAACATATTCCATTTGAAAACAGAGCAGTAAAGCAGCCCAGGGAAATTCAAGCAGCAGTTAGAGACTTGTCTATGTGACACTTGGGGGAAACCAGTGTCCTCACACAGACTATGGTCATTTGTGCTGAGTTGGGTTAATTGCAAGGATGACCCTTAGCTAAAGTCCTTTTGCCAACAAAAACAGTTTTTAGTTATGATTAAATCTCTAGTTCTGACTGCAGACAGGCCTGGCAGGGTACAAGGATAGGAATTAAATAAACTTGAGGGTGTGAATTTAGATAACATTCTTAGTTTATTAACTAGGGAAGTTACAGAAGGTAGTTTTGAGGATTTCATACCTCTTTTTTTTTTTTTTTTTAAATATTTTATTGATTTTTCACAGAGAGGAAGGGAGAGAGATAGAGAGCTAGAAACATCGATTAGAGAGAAACATCGACCAGCCGCCTCCCGCACACCCCCCACTGGGGATGTGCCCGCAACCAAGGCACATGCCCCTGACCGGAATCGAACCCGGGACCCTTCAGTCCGCAGGCCGACGCTCTATCCACTGAGCCAAACCGGTTTCGGCGGATTTCATACCTCTTAATTGCTATAACCTTTAAATGGGATCAGAGATCATCTCTGAAAGGTTAAAATAGCCGAGGAATGAAAATCTGCCCTGAAAAATAACCAGTAGACTAATAGTATGTAGCATATAGAATAGAATTTTGTAACATCATTGGTTGTCCATTATGGTTAGGGAGTATAAGGAGCAAGTTAAAGCTTTCAGATAATTTTAGCCAATTTTTAAAAATTTATTTTTACTAATAAATACTGTATTTTTTTGTTTTTGTTGATTTCAGAGAGATGAAGGGAGAGGGAGAGAAAGGTAAAACCATTAGTGATGAGAGAGAATCATTGATCGGCCTCCTCCTGTACACCACCTCCTGGGGATTGAGTTAGAAACCTGGGCATGTGCCCTGACTGGGAATTGAACCTTCTGGTTCATAGGCTGACTCTCAAGCACTGAACCACATCAGCCTGCCAATTTTAGCTATTTTTGAGGGTCATCTTCCTAAACATATGATGCTGTACTTCCTCAGTTAATACAGTACATTAATCAGAATTAAAAAAAATTTTAGTATATATTTTTGTTGATTTCAGAGAGGAAGGGAGAGAGAGAGAGAGAGAAACATCAAGGCTGCCTCCTGTGTGCTCCACATCAGTCATCAAACCCCCCAAACTGGGCATGTGCCCTGACGGGGAATTGAACCGTGACCTCCTGGTTCATAGATTGACACTCAACCACGTACTGACCCATGCTGGCCAGGCAGAATTTAATATTTTTGTTGATCCTTTATATTGTACGGTAGTTGTAGTTTATGGATGTAAAATTAAAAGGATATTCATCCTAGTAGTAACCAGGAAAATACAGTTCAGAAAATCATTTACTTGTTCCTAATGTAAAGTAGTGATACCTAACAGTTGAAGCTATAGGACAGAATGACATTGATGCCTTTCTGCAAAATAAATTATTTAATCACGGATTGAAGCAGTATTTTCTTCAGTGGATTTTCTTCATAAAATCATGTTTACTGTAATCTGTGTTCCTTGACTTATCATCAACATCGAGAGCATTTAGTTTTAATTTTTTTCATTAACATAATGAATCATTTATTTCTTGATCAGTTGT